TAAGAGGTACAAACTATTATGTATAAAATAAGCTATAAGGACACAGATACAGGGAATATAGCCAATATTTTATAATAACTATAAATTGAATATAACTTTTAAATACCATGAATCACTATACTGTACATCTGTAATATATAATACTGTACATCAACTATACTTTAATTTTTAGAAAGTAATAATTTTTCTTGGTAATGGCTTAGGAAAAATGTCACCCAGTGGTCTGCATAAAGGAGAGGACTGAAATATCTACAGCAATATCAAGGGAACTTCCAGGGGTATATAATCCCTATAAAGCAGCTTGTGCTGAAAAGTGACTAAAAAGACAAAAATGAATTAAGTCTAAATGCTGAGAGTGAGTCTAGATGTAAAAAGCAACTTGACAGTTCAAGAATAGAAAAGATTTGAAAAGGGGATTAAAATTTTTTCACAGATTTTATAGAGAGAAGTTAGAGCCTAGATGAAATTATGCAGCAAAAAAATGTCCCAAACCCTATTAATCTGACATTATGACTTTATTCTGCAGCAAAAATATGATGAATCAAGATCAGGGTTGGAGATTATATATACAGTCAAGAGTTGAGAAGATTCTGGAATAACATGTAAGCTAAGGTCAGGAAACTTTCTCTTACATTATTTTCACACACATTCATTGTCAAAAAATTATTAACTCATTGATAATAAAGAAGGTAGTTTTTTAAATGACTGATCATGCCAAAATAGGCCAGGCAGGGTGAGATGTCAGATGTAGTCATAAGGGGTTCAGAAATTCTAAAGTAAGAGCAATCAAATTTGTAGCATCTCAGGTGAGGTATAAATAAGAGAAGTGGAAGGTAGTGAAAAGAAAAGTGAAAGTGTTAGTCACTCAATTGTGTCCAGCTCTTTGTGATCCCACAGAATGTAACCTGCCAGGCTCCTCTGTCCATGGAATTCTCTAGGCAAAAATATTGGAGTGGGTTGCCATTCCCTTCTCCAGAGGATCTTCCTGACCTGGGGATAGAACCCAGGTGTCCCACATAGCAGGCAGATTCTTTACCATCTGAACCATCAGGGAAGCCCAGAAGGTAGTGAGGATGTGGTCAAAGACAAGGGTTTAAGTTTCTAGATTACCAAAATTGACCAGTTCCAGAGGAGATGAGAAGCAGGACAGCGTGGAATGAAGTCAGTAGGCCTATGTTCAAAACCTGATTTTATGACCAAAGAGCATATTAAAGGTATCTAAAAATATTTGTAAAATAAAAAGATTGGAAAAAACACATCCCCATGTCTTTTATAGCAATAAAATTCAATTTTATAAGTAAACTTTTTCCCAACTACACTAGCATCTTAGAAATAATGGGGGAATTAAAAAGAAAAAAATCCATTAAAAAAACATTTTGCCTTGCATATCAAATCTTTTTTTCATAAGAAAACATATAAAATGCTGCAAGGCAGATGACTTCCAAAGAACCAGTGTACTTATATTTATCTAAAATACATCTGACTACTAATTACTGAAAGTAGATGCAATACCTATGGGTTTATCTGTTCCTAATTAAGCATATTTATCTTTGAAGCTTAAATGGCAATATGTATACTAAACTCCAAAATCTTAAATATTTCTCTGCCAGATGGCTGATTCATATTTGGAAATTTAACAATCTTTTCCAGGAAAACTAGAGTTCTTTTAAACATTTCATTGAGCATGTTGTTACTGAAACACTTGTTCAAATATGCTTCAAATACTTTATGTATCAGTAACTAGAAAATAACTAGGGATTGTGAAACTGAGTAACATGGTTCAGTTTTTTTTATTCCCTTTAGTAATTTTCTACCGGCTTACCACACACATTCCTGGATGGTTTATCATTCAAAATTGTTTTTCTTTTCTTCCTTAATAACTGAGTTTTCTGATGACAAAACTAAAATAAGCTATTGCTTGGGGAAAAAAATAAAACATCAAACCTTAAACATCACAGGAATGTAAATCATAAGCCTCCTATAATCCCATTCCCTATACCACTGTTTAGGTTTTAGTACATATGTACTAAACAGTAAAGATTTTACTTTGTTATAATTTTTTTTAAATAATAGAACTTGATAGGATATCTTAGAAAGCTAGAATATAAAAACAGAGGGGAAAAGAAGAAAAGAATTAAAATAAGGTCAGCATCAGCTCCTAATCAATTACCTCATTTTAACTTCTTGGGAACCCTGATTTTGTTTTTTCCCCCCAATTCAAAATGCACACAATATCAATTTCCTGGCTTTGATAATAATTCACTATAGTTGTGTGAGATTTCTTTGGGGAATGTGGATGATGGATACACAGCTCCCTCTATACTATTTTTATAACTTCTTGTGAGTCTTTAAAGATTTTCAAAATTAAAAGTTACAATAAAAATGGAGGCACAGAGGTGGTGACAGCCATACTACTGGAGAACAGAAATTAAGCATAAATAAATGAGATAGAAACAGTTACTTAGTGATTAATTATAATCAGTTCTTTTAGCATAGATTCATTCAGAAACATGCAACTGCTGTATATATGAGTAAGATGCATTTACTGCTTTCTAGGAGGTTTAGCTGACTCATTGGAAAAGAACCTGATGCTGGGAGGGATTGGGGGCAGGAGAAGGGGACGACAGAGGATGAGATGGCTGGATGGCATCACCGACTCAATGGACATGAGTTTGGGTAAACTCCGGGAGCTGGTGATGGACAGGGAGGCCTGGTGTGCTGTGATTCATGGGGTCGCAAAGAGTTGGACACGACTGAGCGACTGAACTGAGGAGGTTTTAGTCTAGAAGGTCCCCATTTACTCAGCAGTTACCATATAGGCTTTAGAAAAAAAAAGTAAGAAAAAATTAAAGATACAATCCTTACCCTTAAAGGAAAAATAAAAAGCTTTCAATCATATTCCTAGGAATATGTATAGCTGAGCACAAACATACACATACTAAACTTGTTATAATCCAGGTACTGATATTTCAATTTGTGAAGTACCTTCATGAAAAAGAAAAATAGTCTAATTTCCTACTTATTTATGAAATTTTAAACTATTAGTCAATATTTTATTGAATAATTATAGTAAATTATTGACTAGAATTAATTTGTAATGTTTCATAGCTTTTAATATCAGTGCACAGTGGATATCTTTTCCCTCTTTGACTAGTCTTAGTTTTATTGTATGATATACTTTAGCACTTGAGTATGTATTGTTCTCTGCTGTTACCACAGTTATCTTTCCTCTCCATCTGTATTTTGAGCTCATTAAGAGCTCAAAAACTCTTTCCTTCTAACTCTATGTTTCAGGGCACATAATTGGTAATAAATAAATGCTAGTTGATTGGTACTTTGCCAAATGTGTGTTACTTCTATAAAAAATTAGCTACCCATATTTACATGGACAGAAATTGATTAAATTTTATATCACTAATAATTATGGGATTACTGGGTATAAAGTAGAAGACATTTTACTAGCTATTATATAACCCTAAAACATAAAAGACATATATATTTAAAACAGAAAAGATATATGTTACAAATTAGCATTGCTTCCACAGAACTTAAGAAAGACGATTCTTGTTTGGTAACTTGAATTTTATAAGAAATGGTTTTTTAACATGAGATTAAATATAAAAAGGAAATAACTATTTGGAACTTACTGTAGTCTGTCATTACTTTCAGCATATTTAGTATTTAATTTCAGCATATTTAAACATCTTGGTAGAAAACACGTAACAGGAGATTTAGGTCTGAAATTTTCCTTTCTTGATTAAGTAATGAAAGAAAAGTACTACAATTACAGAAAACATAAAGAACAGTGACCTATTCAAAGAGAGGCTCCAAAAATATTAATGAATCAAATGATACAGATAAAATATAGACCAGATCCTGTCTTAAGGCATAAGTTTTTATAATTTTTCCATGTTATAAATTAGTGATCTTTCATTTTCCTATTCTATATTTAACAAAGTTAGAATTCAGAATCCATCCATGCCATTAACAAAAAGTTACATGCACACATATACACATAATTACACATACAGAAATTAAATAACCAAACTGACTTTTCTATGAAAAATTTTCTGTTTTGATGGTAAATGTGTCCATATGTGTTTATATTTTAACTTTCAATAGATATAGTACTACTTTGAATTATGACAACAATAAAATTTATAATGCTATTTTCCCCCATCCTCTTCCTACAGGAAAAGAACATGAAACCCAGAAGCTCAGCACGTGAATTTAGAACAGCTCCTCTTGCCCTACAACATCTCAGCATTCTGAGAAAACTAATGAACCCAGAAAATTCTGCCCTAAGGAGGAGGATTCAGGGAACTGTAAATCTTTCACATCAGTGTTAGAATACTAAGGGCCAAATGTCTTGCCCAAAGGCATGTAGGTAAAGAGAGAACTGAAGTACTTTCTTTAGTCCCACCACACTCTTTCAATTCTAGGCCTCACTATGCTCAGTGGAGGAGGATTATAGTTTTGATTTGTTTGTACCCTTTATGAAAATTACACTCAGTACATTTATACAGAGCAAGGTTCCATTAACTTCATACATGTTCTTTTGAAGCCTCAAAGAAATCTTTTAGAATTGTGTCCTCTCTGAGCTAATAATAATCAAATTAAAAATTCTTCATCAGATAGAGGAAAGAAATGAAAATGAACCAGAAGAAAGAGCAAGAATATGGATAAGCTAAATATATTTAGTAGTTGAAAAACATCTTTGAAGAAAATAGCAACATGTATGTAAATTCCCAAATTCTTTTAAAGTAGTTTACTACTTTATGAATAAAGCCCAGTATTAGACCTAGCCTTAAAGATAAGATGCCTATGCCAGAGAATCTACAGGACTCATTTCCAAAAATTGTGAGCGGTAAAGATAGTCTTGAATGTAGAGGAAGAACGGGGATGGTTTGGGTTTTTTCAGTACTCTAAGGGAACATCTACTTAGTACTTGTATCCCAAGTCAGACATAGTCAATTTATTGTAAACAGGGCTTCCAATACCTCTTTAGGGTGGAAAACTATGTTATCTAGTTTGAAATCTCCATGAATCAAATTTTCTTCATTGTCATTATCTGGCAAGTTTTTCATTAGCCAGTCAGATAGCTGGTTCATGGCAGGGATGTCCTGATGAGCTGCAGCTTGATATTGCTTTGTCCAGGTTGATACCTAAAGATAAATAAATTTTAAAAATGACAGAGCTGAAAGTAGAAAATAAGATTCAGCAATTTTAAAATTAAGGCAAAATTCAAGTATATCAAATTTGGATTCAGTCTTAAATACTCAGAAAAAATGCCTATGATACTTACCTTAGTTTAAAATACTCACATAGGCCTAAAAACTTCAACACTTAAGTTTTTCTTCCATCTAGTTCCATTCTACTTACCTAGACTTTTATCAGGGGAAAAAAAACACTGGCCTACGAATCAAGAGGTGGAAGAAACATGAACAACTTCAGATAGGCAGATGATACCACGGTAATGGCAGAAATCAATGAGGAACTAAAAGAGCCTCTTGATAAGGGTGAAGGAGGAGAGTGAAAGAGCTGCTTAAAACTAAATAAAGGGGAAAGGTGGAATTAGTGAAAGATTTTCCCTTCTTGGACTCTAAAATCACTGTGGATGGTGACTGCAGCCATGAAACCAGAAGACGATTGCTTCTTGGCAGGAAAACTATGACAAACCTAAACAGTGTGTTGAAAAGCAGAGACATTACTCTGCTGACAAAGGCCTGTATAATCAAGGCTAGGTTCTTCCCAGTGGTCATGTATGGTTTTGAGAGCTGGACTGTGAAAGAAAGCAGAATGCCAAAGAATTGATGCCTTCGAACTGTGGTGCTGGAGAACACTCCTGGAAGTCCCTTGGACAGCAAGGAGATCAAGCCAGTCAATCTTAAGAAATCAACCCTGAATACTTGTTGGAAGGACTGATGCTGAAGCTGAAGCTCTAGTATTTTGGTCATCTGGTACGAACAGCCGACTCATTGGAAAAGTCCCTGATGCTGGGAAAGAGTGAGGGCAGAAGAGGGTGTCAGAGAATGAGATGGCTGGATGGCATCATCAATGCAATGGAGGTGAACTTGGGCAAACTTCAGGTGATGGTGAGGGACAGGGAGGCCTGGTGTGCTGCAGTCCATGGGGTCGCAAAGAGTCGGATACGACTCAAGACTAAACAACAACAGGAATCAAGAGATGTAGGTTCTAGCCTTTATATGGCAATTATTCTGTAGAAAGAAAAAAATAAAGAACAAACACATATACCTACAGATGAAAAAAAAATAGAAAATTTCTGAAAGGGTCACAAGAAACAAGTAGTCTCTGAAAAATGTAATATGGGGATTAGAAAAAGAAGGGAGATTTTTATTTCTCATTTTAATCTCCTTTTTTTTTATTACCCATAGAATCTTCTAAAGAATCTTTGAAATATATTACAGACATGAAAATGCAAAGTTTTTTTTCCTATTTTTCTTAGAATTGAATGCAATTAAGTTAACCTATTGTCAAAGTCCTCCACCAATTGAAATAATATTTACCTATTTATCTCCCTCTCTTCTTTCTAAGGCATCTCTGTTCAATTTAGTACAGTAAAGACCTTCATCTTTGGAATCACAGAGAGCTGGGTTTAAATTATGTTTAAGCCACTTATTTGTACATTACTTAATACCTGCAAGCCTCAGTTGCCTCATCTGCAAAATGAGGGTATTAATATCCATGCAATAGGGTTGTTACAAAGATTAAAAAACATTGGGTCTATAATTCATCTAGCATGGGACCTGGTATATAGTGAGTATTCTTTCAACCTTAGTTCCTGTCTCTCTTCCTTCTGCCCCCTGAAAAAGACATATGTACAAAGGGAAACAGCCTCATACTTATCTGGTCTTGCTGTTCCTTTGATGTGAAATGCTCATCATCTTTTCCCTATCACTCTAGATTTTATTCTTCCTTAAATATATAGTACAAGACATAGCTTTCATAGGAAGCTTTCCCCAACTTGAGCAAGGGCATACTTATATCTACCCTCTGAATGGAACAGCTCTCATGATAAGTAACAAAACAATTTATTACCAGATTACATACTCTTTTATACCATTTTCAAGTTTCATGTAAATGAGTTTCATGTAGAGGTGTCTCAAAAATGTTAAGTTCCTTTAGGGGAAGAATTGATTTCTATTTTCTTGAAGTTTAACACAGTACTTAGCACGTATTAAACATACTTATATGCTTAACAAATATTTGTTAAACTAATTTAAAAAGGGAAAATTGTATAGAAAATGAATTGGTAAAATAAGTGAAGAGATAGAAATAGCTTTAAATTTGCATTTATATACATGCTGTCAGTTACAGAAGCTTTTGCTGATCTAAAAAATATAAAATTATTTTATGCTTAAAATAAGTCAATCTGAAGGTTCAAAGTTATAGCAAGATTTCAGAAAAGTATAAAATAATAGATTTTTATTTTAATTTAAAAATGTATATTTTGTTTCCAAGAACTTGAGAAAAGAAACTCTTTGTGTGGATGCCTTACCTGTCTTTTGCAATACCCAACACCTCTACCATATCCTTCCAGCTGCAATGACTGTATATTCAAAGAATGTAACTGAGCCAAGGTTTCTATCACGGCCACATAGATGGCTGAACATTCTGCTTGGCTAACTCCAGGAATTGTGAAATCACGAAAGATTCGGCCCTATGAAAGCAATTACAACAGTTAATTTAAAACAAAACAAATCTTTTCATACCAATTATTTGCTGTGTCATCATACTCTGTTTCCTACAAAAAGATTAGGTACAGTTTTACAACCAAAACCAATTCTTTGTAGAATGTGCCAGGGCTTCCCTGGTGGCTCAGATGGTAAAGAATCTGCCTGCAATGCAGGAGACCCAGGTTTGATCCCTGAGTCAGGAAGATCCCCTGGAGAAGGAAATGGCAATTCACTCCAGTATTCTTGTCTGGAGAATCCCATGTACAGAGGAGCCTGGTGGGCTACAATCCATAAAGTTGCAGAGTTGGATACAACTAAGCAACTAACACATATATGCCACAGGGGAAATACGAGGATACACCAAGATTAACTTAAAGGACAAACACTACTCTTAAGTAACATTTTACCAAATAAAAAATCTTAAAACAATTTGGATTTATTGTTATTAATGGATTGTTTTTTTATTTGAGTAGTTTCTTTCCCTCTACTATCTGGATAGTTTAGTTATTGCCATTACATGTCTCTTTACTGACACCTAGAGGAAGAATAGACCAATATGCCATAATTAGTAAATCTGTTCCTAGTTCATCTCACTCAAATTGTGTTCTCAAATTAAAATGAAAGTTTAATACAAGATAGGGAATACAGCCAGTATTTTACAATAACTCTAAGTGGAGATTGTGAATAACTATGTAACACATCTGTAACATATAATATTGTACATTAACTATATCTCAATAAAAAATAATTTAAAAGCAAAACAAAAAAAGCTTCCATAAAGAACTAATACTGCTGATACCTTGGTTTCAAACTTCTAGCCTCTGGAAATGAGAGGATACATTTCTGTTGCTTTAATAAAAAGAAAAAAAGTTTAAGCCCTTGCAAAGCAAACTACCTAAAATGCTCACTGATAAACTATCATTTATTAACGTGTAATTTCACAACTAAAAATAAAAGCAACAAAGTACAATTAAGTGTTAATTTACCTGTACATGTTCCATCACATAAAATTCTGTTCCAATGACAGACGGATCACTGCAGTATAATAAAGGTTTGGGAACGGGGAATCCAATTGAAAACAAGGCTTTCTGGACTTTAAATTCTCTATCAATCTAAATAAGATGATAGATAATTAAAAATCAGAAATATAGATATTTAATAATTACTTGTGAGCTAACATTAAGGCTATAAATTAATTTTAAAACAGTATCAACAAATATAACAAACAATATAACCCAGAGGATAATAGTTTCCTTAATATTGTCCATAAAAGTAGTCTTAATGCGATTATTACAATTATAAATTAGGATGGCACTTGCAAAAGAGTCAGACAGAGCTTGGCAACTAAAACAAAAACAACAACAAAAATTGCTAATTAGGCTAAAAAGACAGGCGGACACGGAACAATAGACTGGTTCCAAATAGGAAAAGGAGTATGTCAAGGCTGTATATTGTCACCCTGCTTATTTAACTTATATGCAGAGTACATCCTGAGAAACCCTGGGCTGGAAGAAGCACAAGGTGGAATCAAGATTGCCGGGAGAAATATCAATAACCTCAGATATGCAGATGACATATGGCAGAAAGTGAAGAGGAACTAAAAAGCCTCTTGATGAAAGTGAAGGAGGAGAGTGAAAAGTTGGTTTAAAGCTCAACATTCAGAAAACTAAGATCATGGCATCTGGTCCCATCATTTCATGGGAAATAGATGGGGAAACAGTGGAAACCGTGTCAGACTTTATTTTTTGGGGCTCCAAAATCACTGCAGATGGTGACTGCAGCCATGAAATTAAAAGACACTTACTCCTTGGAAGGAAAGTTATGACCAACCTGGATAGTATACTTAAAAACAGAGACATTACTTTGCCAACAAAGGTCCATCTAGTCAAGGTTATGGTTTTTCCAGTAGTCATATATCAATGTGAGAGTTGGATGGTGAAGAAAGCTGCGCACCGAAGAACTGATGCTTTTGAATTATGGTGTTAGAGAAGACTCTTGAGAGTCCCTTGGACTGCAAGGAGATCCAACCAGTCCATCCTAAAGGAGATCAGTCCTGGGTATTCATTGGAAGGACTGATGCTGAAGCTGAAACTCCAATACTTTGGCCGCCTCATGTGAAGAGTTGACTCACTGGAAAAGACCCTAATGCTGGGAAGGATTGGGGGCAGCAGGAGACGACAGAGGATGAGATGGCTGAATGGCATCACCGACTCAATGGACATGGGTTTGGGTGAACTCTGGGAGTTGGTGATGGACAGGGAGGCCTGGCGTGCTGTGGTTCATGGGGTCACAAAGAGTAGGACACAACTGAGTGACTGAACTGAACTGAACTGATGCATGGTGCTTAATCTAACTGATAATATGAAGGTGACAGTTTCTGATCATAATATTTTGCAGATATCATTAAAAAAAAAACAACCACCCTTTTTTTAAAATCAGTCCCTGCTTGCTGACTCGCTCTTGCTTCCCATCACCAGTCCCTCTCCAGTCCACCATGGGGCTCAGGCAAGTCTCTATTTCAGTGCTCTGGGCACAGTCAACTACAGGGTACTGGGGGAGGCCTGTGGGTGCTGGTAGAAAGGAAATGTACCCACTCCGTCTGGAGATCAATGGAGGTACTTGTTTTCAAGGCAGTGGTGCAGGGATTCTTCCTGGTACCCAGGGCTGCCGTGGAGCTCAAGATAACTACTGGGTAAGAAGACAATGAGAAACAACTTGGTACTGACACAGAAGCTCAGCTAAGATAGGAGAAGAAAAGGCCTTCCTCAAACAGGACAGATGTACACATTTATCACTCAGAACCCAGGGACACAGCTTATAGCAGAACACTGATGCCAACTAATCTGCCTGTAAAGTCCCCTTCCCCAGACTCAGGCAGTGGTGGCTGATCACTTCTAAGGAGAAGAAACCATGCAACTCACTTTGACCAGAGGGATAAAGCAGCCACTGCTGCAATAACTAGAGCAGGGAAATGACTAAATCCACAACCAAGGTGAGAGCAGTCAGAGATGCCAATAGTTATGGAAAGAAGCTTTCTGGTGCTGTGAAATAGGGGTGGCAAGGGGTGATGGAGGCTGGTCATAAAGTAGATGTCAGTGTGGGAACAGTGCTTTTTTCCAATGCAGATCTGGGAAAAATGAAAGGAGCTGAAACAAAAGTACTTTAGATCGTTGGGCTGAAAGTATTATTTTATGTTCTCATGTCTTCTAGATATCAAGGATATTGTCATGAAGAGAGACAAATCCAACTGTTTACTGGGGCATAAATCTCTCCCTGCAGGTGGGGATTCTCTTTCACCCATGCCTTGTTGAGGCTTAATAAAAGTTACTGAACTTTTTCGATCTTAAGCATCCAGGTCATTTCATTTTCTGGGAATATCATAGTCATAATATGCATTTTCCATTACTGTGATATTAAACCCACCTTTCAGTGGCCCATCTCCAGTCAGTTGGGGTTGGGAATCATGTATAATCTGTTATATATGATTATAATAATATCCAAAATATGCATCATGATTTTAATGTTCTTTTCTCTAAAAGTCCATAGATAATATGTTTTCTGAAAAGAGTCAATTTTTAACAAAAATCTTTTATAATTCTCACTAAGATTTACATCATATTATGATTATTCAAATATTTATTTTTATCACCAAAAGATCAAAGGATTACTACATCAAATATATTAAAGTATTCAGTGAGTAGATATTGTTATAAGATATAATAATGTGCCTTTTAAAACATAATTTAATCAAAGTTCAAAACATCTATAGATGAGCAGCTCTGAAAATATTCACCAGATGACTACATTTCTAGCTGACTATACAAAGGAATCAAATCCACAAGAAGACTGGATAGTGCTCAAGATGACCAGCTTAAACACAGCCTTAGATNCGGGATGGGGAATACATGTAAATCCATGGCTAATTCATTTCAATGTATGACAAAAACTACTGTAATGATGTAAAGTAATTAGCCTCTGACTAATAAAAATAAAAACAATAAAAAAAAAAAAGGGGGTGGGGGGAATACAATTCAAGTGAAATTTTCACCTAAGAAATAAAATGCATTCTCTATATTTAACAATTGTGAGAGTACTTTTAAATGCAATTTAAATTGTTTCATGTGTATAAAATGCATTTATTAGTCAACAAGGAATTTAACATTGTATTTGCATACCATACCTTATGTGCTTTAGGAAGAAGTAAACCAGGTGGTTTTTTTCTGAGTACATACGCTCGAAAGCCTTTCTGGAGATGAAAGGTTGGATTGGACTGTCCTGATCTAGATAAGAATAGAGAAAAGGTCAATAAAAAGATATATTTTTCTTTTTCCCCACATTCTGCTGAAATTTCAGAAGAAAACACAAAATGAAAATAAATCCACTTCAACACTAGAAAGCCAAGAGGGGTGCTACCAGCAGCTGAGAACATCCATTTTTGGATTGTATATAGCATATGGTAACACAGTGGCAGCTGGAAAACCTATAATCTACACAGGTAGAAGAGAAGATCTTACTTCTTGCCTGCAAATCATGAGTTTTATCAGAATTATCCCTAGAAAAACGTCTAGATCTAAGTAAAGAAAGGCTGGGAGAAGAGACTGTAGGGGATCTGTCAGAAAATTAATTAAAGGATGCTGGAACAGCTGTTCCCTCATCTGCGATTGGAGAGAGAACTCCAAGTATAGCTTTCTGAAATGGGAATTCTGATAAGCAAGGTCCTAGAGGGGATATTTGGGCCAGAGAAGTGCAATAGTGCCCCAAGTGACTCACAGACACCAGGGCACTGACTTTCTTGCTCTGTGGACAGAAATTCTCACATGGGCTAAGAAAATACACTCCAGCTGCCAAAATTATTTCATCTATACCTTCATTTACCCAACTTTTAAAGAATTCAAGAGCATGAAAGAGAGGCCTTGAACTAAAAAAGCAGAAGAATTAATCCCTGAGGTAATAGGTAATAAGAGAAAGTTAAAAAACATTTCTCTCTGAAGTTTTACCCTAAGCTTCCAGCCTCCATCTGCAAAGAACAAAAGCAGATTGAATACAGCAGCATCTCCACTTTCTACATCTTACTCAGATAAGCAAGACCCATCCTCTCTAGCAATCATACTAAAAAGCACCATCTAATCCTGGGTGAGTGCCTTTAAGCATAGGAAAGTGAAGATCATTGCAACAGTGTCAGCAAATGGGACCACGTCAAGCTGTATTGTTAATCTTTTAAATATAAATTCATTTATTTTTTGACTGTGCTGGGTTTTCATTACTGTGGGAGCTTTTCTCTAGCTGTGGAGAGTGGGGACTACCCTCTAGTTGTGGGCATGTGCTTCTCATTGAGGTGGCTTCTCTCGTCACAGAGCACAGGCTCTAGGCCCACAGTCTTCAGTAGTTGCAGTGCAAGGGCTTGGCAGTTGCGGTTCTCAGGCTCTAGAGACCAAGCTCCCGGGCTTAGTTACTCTGTGGCATGTGGGATCTTCCTAGATCAGGGATCAAACACATATCTCCTGCATTGGCAGGTGGATTCTTTACCACTGAGCCACCAGGGAAGCCCCTATGTTGTGTATCTTGACATGGGACAATTTATCTGTGATGCTCCAAAGAGTCAAGTTGCAATGAACCTTACAAAGACAATTCTTAATGCCAAATGTCTGCTTGGATGCATTTCTGATAATGCAGTCGTATACCGAAGCACTGGCGTTTTGTGATGGTAAATGACCAAGGTGAAATATAAGAGGAAAACTAAAAGCTATTTACTAAATATATAATTACCATATGACCCAGCAATTTCACTCCAACATATATATCCAAGAGAACTGAAAACACATTCAAACAAAAAAGTGTACATGAATATTCATAGCAGCTCTATTCTCAACAACCAAAAAGTAGAAACAATCCAAATGTCCAACAACAGATGAACGGATAAACAAAATATGAGATATTCATATAATGGAATATTACTCAGCCATAAAAGGAATGGAGTTCGAATACATGCTAAAATGGATTGGCTCTGAAAACATTACGCTAAGTGAAAAAAAAAAATAGTCACCAAAGGTCAGATATTATATGATTTCATTTCTGTGAAATGTTCAGAATATGTAAATCCATAGTGATAGAAAGTAGATTATTGGTTCCAGGGGATGGGCAGAAGGGGGAATTGTGAGATAAGGGTTTCTTAGGGTGATGGAAATTTCCTGGAATTAGATAGTGGTGATGACTGCAGAATATTGTGAATTAATAAAAACCACTAAATTATACACTTAAAATAGTTAAAATTTTAAGTTTAATATAGCATGAATTTTATCTAAACAGACAAACACACAAACAAACAAAACTCCACCAAACTAAAAGCATCTCTTTTGAGCAAGTATCTACCGTCCATGGTTCTAACAAAGACAAAAAGAAAAAAAAGCAGAATCCCTGCAGGGGAAGACCATCACCAACACTGTGTACTGTGAACAAAGTACTGGCTACATTTAACTACTCTAACCATCAGGCCTCCATACAGTATGGAATCCACTGATGGTATCAATATGATAAGAATCATCAATGAGCCAAAGGTCATAACTGTTCTTTAGGACTTGAACAAGACATTTAATACTAAAAGAAATGGGTTGATTTATAACCAAACGTGACACTTGATTTGTCGAACCTTAATTACAAAGATGGAATCTTTGCATTTAAGTGTTCAGTTAGGAACACTCATTCGGTAGACTCATTTGACTAGACAAGAAATCTCAAAGACTCTTAGCATTGGTTTTACTTAGAAGCACAGGAAGACAGGAGATACAGTATTCCAGTGGGGTAGCATCAGATGAGTTTCTTTAGTAAGGTCCTTACAGTAGGTCTATGCAGCAGTCTAGGATCTACCTTGTAACGCCTGTGTCTGCCTGTGTCCCTCTGGTGATAGCTCAGGTTTGAAGGAATGAGATCACAGTGGATGGGTGTGGGTGCCACCCTGGCTTAGAAGCCTCACGCTCTACACCATGATGGCTCCATCATCTCCAGGAGCAGTGCTCTAGCAAGAGACATGACCAATTTTAAGAACTAACTAAATGTAGAAAAGCCCCAAGTTAAGCCTAAAATATCTGACTAGATACTTAAGTTAAGCATAAAATATCTGACCAGATACATTTACAGGCCTTCCAGTTCAGATGCAATTTACCAAATAGATGTTACTTTTACCATAAGTGCTCTTGCTTGGAAACACAGCTGACATTCCACCTTACTAAGTTTCCAGAGTAACATAGCTAGAAAGTTAATTTGTCTGTAGAACAAAAGAAAAGTTTTTTTTTTTTTAACATTTTTCTCACAAGCATGCGAGCCTCAGATCCATGATGTAATCCTAGTAGGTGGCTCTATCTGCATCTCCAAGCTTCCAAAACTTAGATATTCTTACAAGATTTCTTTCAATAGCAAGAAATTTTTAAAAAGCATCAATCCTGTTAAAGGTCACATATGTTTACAGCTATGTAGGCAGCCTAAAGGAAATCAGTTCTGAGTGTTCTTTGGAAAGACTGATATTGAAGCTGAAACTCTGATACTTTGGCCACCTGATGCGAAGAGCTGACTCACTGGAAAAGACCCTGATGCTGGGAAAGATTGAGGGCAGGAGGAGAAGGAGATGACAGAGGATGAGATGGTTGGATGGCATCACTGACTCAATGGAGATGATTCTGAGTAAATTCCAGGAGTTGGTGATGGACAGGGAGGCCTGGCGTGCTGTGGTCCATGGGGTTGCAAAGAGTTGGACACGACTGAGCGACTGAACTGAAGGTAGCCATCTTGTCCCTTGTCTGGAGATAAATCTGAAGTTATTCAGAATTTACTGTTCTTTGATATCACTCCTTTTTCTTTAATTTTGAAACCACTTGTGGCGTCATGACTATTCTGACCAAGTGCACCATAGCAAGCAGTTAATACCAAGTGGACTTAGACATTCACATCTACTCTTATAATCAGCTTGGTATGCTCATTGAAGTATATGGAATTGAGTGAGCAATGATGCAGGATAACAATCAGCTTGGCAACTGAACTCACAGGCACTGCTACAGCATTCTTTGAAGTAGCAACTTTTGATACTGATGCCGATAGCTCCTCAAATGTATTTGCTATGGATTAGAGATCGAGAAAAGAGAAGACTAAAAGACTAATATCATGGTGTTTAAGCATAGAAAATATTGAGTATATAGTTCAAAAGACTTAAAAATACAAAGCTGGAGATAAGAAGAGGCAAAATATCCCCCAAAAACTTTCTCCAAACTAGGATTCAGAGCCATGGTAGAAGAAGAGATGTGAAGGCAGAATCAAAGGAAGTCAGAAGATTCTTGACAACTGCAATGGAAGCAACAAATGGCTGGCCAAGAATCAGATTACTGAGAAGGAAGAATTTAGCATCAGCAGAAAGAGGTGGAGAGGGTCCAAAACTCCACCACAGTGTACCAGAGAACAGGCATCATGATAGGTGCTTTGCTGGGCATTTCTTGGAAGTGGTGGCTCATCTCTCCAGAGGTGCCTTTTCTGGATCCATGGCTGCAAAAATCAACCAACTTGAACAAAACACAATACAGCACATTCCACAGAGCCATGAAGTTTGAAGGACTCTGATCTGTAGGAAGTTGGTTCAGTGACAGTTTCAAAAATCATTATTTGAGCTGCTTAATATACTATTTATAATTAATATATTAATTAAATTATAACTATTTAACATATTAAAATTATAGACATTTGTCCTTTTCATCATAGGGGACTGGAGTGCAAAAGTAGCAAGTCAAGAGATACCTGGGGTAACAAGCAAGTTTGGCCTTGGAGTACAAAATGAAGAAGGGCAAAGGCTAACAGAATTTTGCCAAGAGAATGCACTGGTCATAGCAAATACCCTCTTCCAACAACACAAGAGATGACTCTACAAATGAATATCACCAGATGGTCAATATCAAAATCAGACTGACTAAATTCTTTGCAGTCAAAATGGAGAAGTTCTACACAGTCAGCAAAAACAAGACCTTGAGCTGACTGTGGCTCAGATCATGAACCCCTTGTGGTAAAATTCAGACTTATATTGAAGAAAGTAGGGAAAACCACTATGCCATTCAGGTATGACCTAAATCAAATGCCTTATGATTATACAGTGGAGGTGATAAATAAATCCAAGGGCCAAGATCTGGTAGACAGAGTGCCTAAAGAACTATGGATGGAGGTTCATAACATTGTACAGAAGGTGGTGACAAAAATCATCCTCAAGAAAAAGAAATGCAAGGAGGCAAAGTGTTTGTCTAAGGAGGCG